CATAAATCCACCAATTCCATTTTGGAGAACAGTGGACAAACAGTACATGCATCTAGAAAGCACTACATACATTTACGTACCATCAAATGGTATTTTTAAGCCAAATGCTTGCTACTCCGCGAGACAGAGTGATTTCAAATAGGGTATTGATCAATAAAAGTTTGTTTCATGGGTTACGAAAACAATTTTTATTTTTTCTGAAGAGATGTCTGGCTTGCACAAATGCACAAGTGCTCATGTCAAGATGCTGTGTTCCTGTGATCTTTGGATTGTGCCTTGAGGAACACAAAGTGGGAATGAATGCAGGGGTTCTGAGGTTGTTTCGTGCAGCAGGGTCCACGGTCTTATCCCGATCATTCATAACTGCATCAAAAACTTTTCATACAAGTTCATATTCGTACGATTCGTGTTTTCTTTTGGTTTAGATTGCGTAGGTATGTAAAATTGTAATTTTAACCCTCCACCACCCAACAAAGACAATTAAAAATGTCACATCATGGGCGAATGTGCCGGTTTGGTTTATGAGCTAACCAGAATGTTGAAAGTTAAGCAAAACGTGGAACAGTCTATAGGTTTCGCTGGAGATTCCATCCAGCATCATGAGGTATGTGTATTTGGACTGTAATTCCAAAATATCTATCATGGTATTATCACAGATTAATAATGAACACTGGACAATGCAGGGACTTGGTTTGTGAGACCGTGAATGATCGCATCATGTTAAGATGCGTTGTGTTCTTCTCTCCTGTATCCTACGACTTGTTGAGATGACTGGACTTCATGAAGTGGGAGCGCGAGTGGTTTGGTTTGCTTTATTTTGGCACAAGTAAAACGCATTGGGCAATAAATGCCCATTTTGATGGAAATTTGATTACACAACATAAACCAGGTTCCAGCATCAAACGTGACAACTATCCAAAAATACATGTATTTTGGTACTTTCGGTGAAGTCTCGTAGATAGGTAAAAAAACAAGAAACTACGACGTTTTGATTGTAACACAAGCGATTGGTCATCAGGTGGAAAAAAAGCACGGGGGGGGGGGGGACCACCCAAGGCAAGCTGTTTTTAAAGGTTCAAAATGGGCATAGCCCAAGCGTCCTGGTAAACCAGCGGCAATGGTTATGTAAATAGGGTAGACGTACGAACCGTGGAGAGATTAACAACTTGTGGTACGCCCAATGCAGGGGCGACACAGCAGGGACTGGAATTGCTTGTCCCATGTTTAGTAAAATAAAACTAACATCGGAAGGTGATAAGATGGAAACATCACAGCTAGTTATGACTTAAGTTGGTTGATGACGTCCTTCCAATGATTGCTGAGTTTGTACCCATCCTCTCGGTTGAAATTGTGTCTGTGTCTGTATATATGGATGGCTTCATGAACTAATCTTTGGTGATAGCCAGTGGGCTTGCAAAGTACCTTTGTCTTAGAGAAATACATTTTGTGTGAGCCAACCGCATTAAAACAATGATCAGCCACGGCTGACATGTTGGTCCTCCCGTGTTTTAAATCTGCCTTATGCTCACGAACACGGTTCAAGACATGTCGCTTAGTTTCCCCAATGTAACAACTGCCGCAGACACAGCTTAGTTTGTAGACGCCGGGGTATTGCATGTCAGGGATCTTATCCTTAACAGATGGTATCAGATCAAGAATTGTATGTACTGTGTTAAATCGAACCTTGATCTTGTGTTTGCTCATTATTTTGGAAATATTTTTAGTGACCCCTGCTATGTACGGCAAGGTGATGGTTTTGATTGGGTCCTCAGATGGCTCCTTCCCAACGGTTGGGGTGATAGCTTTACGGATTGTGTAGTCTGAATATCCGTTCATCTTGAGAGCTTGGTGCATGTGTAGTAAGCCCAAAGACGAGGGAGAGCCGGTACTTGAGGAAACAGTTTATTAAACAAATAACTCAACGCAAGGTCCCTACTATGAAGGGCAACGGCCCCTTACACTCGCTACCTGGGGAGGTATGGCCTCCGGGCTATCGTGCCTCCTAACACTGGGGCCCACTCTTCACTCAGCCCTCTGGCTAGGTGCCCTAGGGGAGGCTATCCTGACCCGACCCAGCCAAGGTTCTCGAGTCCTGGCCACTAGCCCACTCAGTCTCAGCCCTTACAAGGACGTCAGGTCTGGGGGTACCCAGGGTCCGACCACTGTCACACCTCAGTCCCGGCCCTTAGAATGACAGCGGGTCTGGGGGTCCCAGGGTCCTATTCTAAGCCCAGTCTTCTGTCTTCGGCTTGAGGACGACTGCCGAACCCATTCAGGGGTCCGGCTTTTATACACCTCCTAGGGTCTCTCCGCCCCTGGACACGCCTCCCTTCCAGAGTGTTCCAGGGGATCCTAGATTATTCCCCCAGCCCCCCTCTTGGGGTCTGGGGAACCTCGGTGGCCCACATATCACTCCCTACTGACGTATGTCCTCTAGTGCAGGTAAGTACACCGTGTGTTCATGGCGTTACACATGTGTTTCAGTTCACTGGCTAGGTGATGATGGTCGGTGATACATCGAGCTCTATGGTGTAGAGTTTTGCTGAGGGAATACGTTTGGGATGGATGGTGGTGGGAGTCAGGTTTTAGGTAGGCATCAGCATGGGTTGCTTTTCTGTAGACAGAGTGGCCCATTGATCCATCTGGTCTCTTTTCGATGAGAACATCCAAGAATGGTAGCTTGCCATCCTTTTCTACCTCCATGGTGAATTTGATGCAGTACGAACTAGGGCCCATAAACACTGGAGCCTATTCAGCTGCTTTCTGGCTGTGGTCTAAAGCCACGTGTACACGTTTGGCTTAGGGTCCAATCCCTGAGTCACTATCGCATCACGTGCACTATAACTCTATGGCGCACAAGGCGCACCACTCAACATGGTACTTTCATCCTAACGAGAAGTATGCAGCGGTAAGATGCAGTACAAAACACATGGCTCCTCTGGACTGCAACACACTGCTTGGTGCACAGTTATTTGCAATTCATCATAGCTAGGCCCATAATGGTTACAGTCAGTTTTTACAGATTCAAATGTATTTTAACATTGCTACAAAAGCGAGGCTAAGTGGAATTTAATACCACATACTAAGGTTCCTTATTAGTGTGTATTACCTACTATGACACGTGGTGTAGGAATAGGGACATTGAAAATGAAAATGGGACGAAAGTTCTATGTGTTCAAAGAAGCGTAGACAAGAACAGGCTGAGTTACACTGAAAGTGAAACACATGGGTCATAAAACAAATAGAAATTACAGACAGCATTTTGACTTTAAAAAAGTAAGTAGTCTTGGACTGGATACGTCACGAGTAGGGGTCATGGCCGGTTGTCAAGACTAATCACAGTTGCAGTCAAATGAAGGAACACATCCAACAGACAGATCACTGCCACGATGGGGCAATGAGAATGAGATAGGTTCATGTGCAAAGACCAAGCGGATTGGTGCACCACAAAACTGCAAGTTGTGGAGAACTAGGTAGGTCTGCACCCACAAATGTATGCGCTATGGCTGCCTCTTCTATTTATGATACCAATTGTTACCTGTACTTTCATGCCCATCGCTGGCTACTGGCAATATCGTAAACATGTCGGCACAACTCTACACTGTCTAAAGGTGGGTTTCATTCTGCTCTATTGGTCGCTGTGATTTCCAGAAGAAATCCAAGACTGGAGCAGGCTTTGTGGACTTGTCATTGGCCTATAACACAGTCTGGATTAGGGGCTTGATGTTGAAGCTTGCAAGGACCATTACCTGCCTCAAAACAATACACCTGATATGGACAATGCTGTGCAATAGGCGAGTGCATGTCTATATGGGAAACAAATACAGTGACCTTCTGTTGCAACACTATGTGACACGAACCCACTCCAACCTATCTCGCAGTGAAGCTGGACCGTATGCTAACCTTCAACAACCACCTAAAAAAGGTAGCTGCCTAAACTAAAACAAGGGCAAATCTGGTCCAGAAACTGGCAAGCAAAAGTTGGAGAGCATCAGCACCCTCAGTGCTACAGGTGTCAACGATGGCCCTTGTGCACTCTGTAGCTGAGTACTGTGCACGAGTATGGACCAGAAGTAGTCACACTCGACTTGTCAATGTCTATCTGAACACTGCAATGTGGTGTGTCACTGGAACCCTCAAATCGACCCCAATACCCTGGCTGCCCGTGCTGTCACAAATCTCTCCCCCACTCATCCACCGCAATGCTAAAACCCTCCGGGAAGGCCTGCGAATCGAGTAAAGCAGTCGCCTTCCCATTCATCAGGAACTCCATGAAGTCCTTCATCATCACCTGAAGTCACACACGCCCTTTTGGACCCATGCTCTTAACCTTCAACAATGCCTGTTTAACCCCGGACGAACCTTGGAGAGCTGAATGGAGTTCAAAAGAACTCACAAACAAACACCTTATGAAAGACCCAACAGAAGATCACTGGATTTGATCTTCCACGAAGCTCATGGTCCACCCTAAACTGCATCCGCACAAACCATGGCAAATGCAGATTCCTGATGCACAAGTGTAAAATTTAAAACTCTTCAGTAGTGTGCTCCTATGGTCATCCAGAACAGACCATACAACGTAAAACGTCGCAATGCCCGATCCACAAATACAAAGGAGACATCACAGCGATACACTCCGCTGTCTCCAGACTTGTTTGTCTGGCTTGACCACCTCAATGTGAAATTGTAGTTGTTGCTTTGCATCTACATCAGCCATAAGAGAGCACGAGGTTGCTGTGGTAGTGGTTGTGTCCATAAACGTGGACATGAAGTGTGATTGGTGGTTGTGTTGGTGTTGCACTGTGATTGGTGGTTGTGATGATAAGTAGAGCGAAGCGTCGATTGGTGGTTGGTCACTGATTGTAGAGCTCGCTTTTGATTGGTGGCTGTGCTGACTTATGATTGGTCGCTGTGACAGTAGCGCTCCTTTCTGATTGGTGGTTGTAGCGGTGGAGTCCGCTTCTGATTGCTCGCCGTGGCAGAGGGGCTCGCTGCTGATTGGTCGCTGTGTTGCCGTGAATCAGCTGTTCCTGGACTCGCCGCCATCGCTCGACACCTCCACGACCCCGCGGCCCAAAGACGAAGATCGAAGAGTCCGCTCCACCTCCTCCTCCCTCCTCCTCATTCTCTACCCCCACCCCTCCCTCGTCACCTCCTCCTCGTCACCACCTCCTCATCCTCGTCTCCATCCCCGCGCCACCCGCACTGCCCTTCCTCAGCAGCGCCTCCTCACGGTAACCCGCGCCCCTGCTCGCCTGAGCCCCCCAGCTCGCTCCTCCGGCCCTCTCTCCGGCGCGCGTCCAGGCGAGACCGAGGCCCCGTTTTCGACTCCGCGGGGCCGTGTCGGTATTTGGCGACGCGCCCAGCGCCTCTGCTCCCCTCCCCGTCTCCTCCTCCTCCTCTCTGCCCCGCGCGATCCGCGCGTCTCCCGCATACCCTAGCGGGTGTGCGAACCCCCGTGGCGTCGTTGCTTGGCTTGGGTGGACTGGGCCTGCTGTGCCTCGGGGATGACTCGGGGAAATGGCGCGGGGGGGTGGGGGGGCGTTAAGGTCGCCGCGGCACCTTCTCCGCGACCCCCTGCGGCCCGCGGCCCGCGGCCCGGGCCGTGGAGACCTCGCGGCTCTTCACGTGCCAGGCTGTGGCCGGCCTCGGTCTGCTTCTACTGAGGCCCGGCCGCCCCCGCGTCCAAGTTCACGGGCGAAGCGAGACCCTGGGTCGCGTCTGTTTCGCTTCCCCCGCCCCCGCTTCCTCGCCCGCGGCTGCCTTGTTTGTCTCGGTATTGATTATTCCGGTGTTGGTGGTGATGGTTCTGTTTTCGGCTGCCCGTGTCCTCGTGCGGCCGTGTACATATGAACTCCAACAGCATTGGCGCGACCTTTTCTTAACGCGGCCTTAAATAGCTCTCGATCACACCCCCGCCATCTGTTCTGTTTGAGGATTTTGTTTGTACAGTGAATACATGTTAATTGTTCCAATCTGTTTTGGATTTAAACAAAAAGCTCAAACGTCGCACTACTCAAATGCAGTGGGCGGTACTTATTCTCCCGTGCAGGCCCGAGCCATTCCACATTTTCATGGTGGGGGATCGTCCATCCATAGGACGACTGCTCTTGATTTCCCAGTTATTCTTTATCAGCTGTCAGATGATTCCATAATTTAGTGATACTGCTGTGTTGGCATTGGTGCAAAAGCATAGATAACGGGGACACGTTCGTCACAGTGCCACTGCCGTAAATGGAAAATAGATCATAGGCGACGCTTCGGGCAATAGCCTGAACTTGAGATATTTGAGAGATGATCGTAATAATATAGGTTTTTTTGGGTTAGGTCGCGTAAATATAAATGTGTCGTTAAACCCGCCACCACCCGACACAGCCAATTAGTAAGATTTGTCACGTAAACACAACATGCCAATTCGTTACTAGTACAGCACACTGGTGTGTTGGATAGCAAATCCACAATATTTACATTCTGATCGTAAGTTTACATAATGAATGTTTCACGAGTTATAATTAATAGTCTAATGCATTCAATGAATGATTTGCAACTTTTTTCTTGTGTACCCTACGAAGCCTATCAGCTCTGCTAACCACATATGAAACCTGAAGAAGACATTGAAGTGGGCTTGTGCAGGACACATTTCTGGAAAGGACAATGCTGAAGAATAATAAGGGAATGACAGCTCAGGAACGGGACACATCCGAAAGGTCGTCCACTGAGGCAAAATCGATTAAATCGGTGTGCAAGCGCTTGGTTGATTATACATCGCAGGAGCTGGTGGCAGTGGCTTGGGCAGGCCTTTAACTCTCAATCGATTGACCATGGCTGATGATAATGTAAATGACTCCCGAGAGATAACACGTGTACACCCCAGGGTTTGCGTATCATAGATAGGGAACTTTCGCTCTAAATAAAGTACATTTAAATTGTCATGTTTTTACATGTAACTCATGTACCAATTTAAATAAAAATATGCAACATTTTAAAATAAAATTAATTCTTCGGTAAATTGAGTTGTATATTTACCCAAGACTAATACATCAAACTACTGTAATTGTGATGTTTACCAGTACTCGGCAAGTGCTTCACTCACGTGACTTGCCCACACTTTATTTACAGGTTATCATGAAAGTGAGTTAGTCGGATGCAAGCATGGACATCAAGACGGCGGTGTTCAACGCAGCTCGCGACGGCAAGCTGCGCTTCCTGCAGCGCCTGCTGCGGCACAAGGCGCCGGAGGAGCTGCGCGGCCTGGTCACCGAGAAGACGGGGGGCTCCACCCCGCTGCTCATAGCTGCCCGCTACGGCCACCTTGACGTGGTCCTCTACCTCGTGGAGCACTGCAATGCCAACATCGAGTTGGGCGGCTCCGTCAACTTTGACGGCGAGACCATCGAGGGAGCTCCGCCCCTGTGGGCCGCATCGGCCGCGGGCCACCTGGCCGTTGTGAAGTCCCTGCTGGCGCACGGCGCCTCCGTCAACAACACCACCCTGACGAATTCGACGCCGCTGCGCGCCGCCTGCTTCGACGGCCACCTGGATATTGTCAAGTACCTCATCGAGCACCAGGCCGATTTGGAAGTGGCCAATCGCCACGGTCACACCTGCCTGATGATCGCCTGCTACAAGGGCCACAAGGAGATCGCGAAGTACCTGCTGGAGAGAGGCGCCGACGTGAACCGCAAGAGTGTCAAGGGAAACACGGCTCTGCACGACTGTGCCGAATCGGGGAGCCTGGAGATCATGAAGATGCTGCTCAAGTACAGCGCGCACATGGAGAAGGATGGTTACGGGATGACGCCTCTCATGGCAGCCAGCGTGACTGGCCACACCAACATTGTGGAATATCTGATCCACAACCCGCAGACGTCACGGGAGGAACGGATCGACGCATTGGAGTTGCTGGGTGCCACATTCGTCGACAAGAAGAGGGATTTATTGACAGCCCTCAAATACTGGAAAAAAGCCATGGAAATGAGGTACTGTGACCGCACGAATATCATCCACAAACCGGATCCCAAACAGCTCGTGGCAGCCTACGATTATGCCAGAGAGGTGGCGAATGCTGACGAGTTGGATGCACTGATCGCCGACCCTGACGAGATGAGAACTCAAGCGTTGCTCATTCGAGAAAGAGTTCTTGGCCCATCTCACCCCGACACCTCGTATTACATTCGCTATCGCGGGGCCGTGTACGCCGACTCTGGGAACTTTGAACGCTGCATAAAGCTTTGGAAGTACGCGCTCGACATGCAGCAGAAGTACCTGGACCCGCTGAGCCCCATGACAGCCAGTAGCCTCCTCTCCTTTGCTGAGCTTTTCTCATTCATGCTTCAGGACCGTGCCCAGGGCCTCTTGGGAACGACGGTGGATTTTTACGATCTCGTGGGAATACTGATAAAAAGCGTGCTGGAGATAGAGCGTGGGCTCAAGCACCTCCACCACACCAGTAGCCCGTCGCCAATAGAACGAGACCACGGCCCCTTCAACAAAGCCCTATCCATCATCCTGCACTTGGTGTGCCTGCTGGAGAAGGTGCCGTGCGACGTGGAGCAAGACTTCCTGAAGAAGCAGTCAGTGTACAAGCTGCTGCGGCTTGACCCCCGGGGCAAGAACGGCTTCACGCCCCTGCACCTGGCCGTCGACAAGGACACGACGGCGGTAGGCCGCTACCCCGTGTGCAAGTTCCCCTCTGGCCCTGTCACGTCGCTGCTTCTTGAGTGCGGCGCCGACATCGACGCCTGTGACCTCGACGGGAACACGCCGCTCCACGTGGCGGCGCTCAACAACAACTCGGACATCATGAAGCTTCTCCTCGATAACGGAGCCCACTTTGACATGGCGAATGCGGCCCGCCGCACCTCGTACGAGCTGCTGGATGAAAAAGAAATGGCCAAAAATCTCATCCATCCTACCTGCCACGTGACCCTGCAGTGTCTGGCTGCGCAAGCCCTCATCGGACACAAAGTGACATACAAGGGGAAGATTCCCAGTATACTGGAGGCCTTTGTTCAACTACATTAATAAGGTGGCATGTGCTTACTGCTTCCGTTACCCGAGTAACAATATGTCCAAAGGTGCTGAAATGAATATAGTGTGCACATTACTTTGATACAGATTTAAATATAAAAAAAAATCAGAACGTAAAATTCTATGAGACATTGATATATACGTGTATACTGTAAGGATCTCTTCGGTGTAAATTGTGGATGTTAAATACAGATAAGGCTGTGGGGAATTTAACTTTGAATGCTCTGCAGCAAACGACTGCATTTGCTAAGCACACTTAACCCGTCGGTGAGGATATGCATTCCACATCCCATTAGTACTGTAACATCACCTTCAGTTAACATTTTGGTTGAGTTAAACCCCGTTGAAGTAAAATTTGCAAGAAATGAAAAGCCTGATCACCAGCCATCCGCGTGCGATTGTACGCATCATTTTACATCACCGCGATTCCTTATGTCGTTGGGTTACACATTTGTCGGCGTTGCAGGAACTAATGAAACGTCCCCCGTGGATTAGCCAACATTGTTATATTTTTGTACACACTTAAGGTGTGTGCCTGACTATCCGTAGCTCGTCTGTTGACAGGAAATGATTTGAACCGGCGGGAGGGAAGATGCATTGTGACAATAGATTGGAGTTACCGATGGGATCTCATCGAGGCCTAGATGCGTGCTCACTTGCGTATTTTTTCCACGTTAATAGCGTCGTGTTACTGCATTTGAGGTATTTTTACGTGAAGCGCTGTAAGGAATTACATTGGCATTTTATGCACCGAGTAAAGCGTGAGTTTTACAATAATGTAAATCTCATTGTAATTGAACAAATTTATCCCAGTATCTTTTTGCCAACGAGTCTTTTTTTCAATATTCTGCAGTATTTTTGTTATTGCTTTTATTAAGCTCCATTTTATGAGCAATCTCCCTGCAGGCAGCCGTATTTTTTCTGAAATGAACCATTTTGCTGTGGTTAGCTAGGTCCTGATGGAAGGCTTAAGACTTCTAATGTGCACAAACATTACACATTAGATTGCTTTTTGTCCCTTTCAGCTATTGCAGTGGAGCCCACAATATCGGGCCTTTTGATGGGGCAAATACCATACTAAATCCTGCCGAAAGACGGCAACTTGTGCAAATAATGTGCTTAACAAAGCGTCATTGTAATTACATCTGTTCTCAGGCCAAGAATGTAAGTATATTACTGTACATAATGTGTTGCTATTCAGGTTCAGTCTAATAGGGCACTATGGATCCATAGGTGAAACAAAAAGAAACAAAATTGCCTGAGTCTGTTCAAAATGACAATTGGCGCGAACCAAACCTTGTGAATAAAACGGTGGCAGGCGAGGAGGAGACGCATGCGCGGCACAGGGAACTGCGCGGCTCGGACGCGCGCGTGGAGCAGCATGTCGTGTGAAGCGTTTAAAGTGCACTACAGGGGAGGGGGGGTACACGGGTGTTTGGTTCCACGCCTATGTGGCCAAGTTGCAAAACATGAGAGGTTGCAATGTCTGGCCAATCTGGGTCGTGTAGACCCTTGATAGCCCCGCGGAAGCAAGATAATTAGTTGAATAGGTCTAACTCGCCATTTAAGCATCCTTTTGCATTTTTAAAAATAAAATCCCTTATTTCTATTTAACTTCGAATACTGCAAGTTAAACTTTTATTTTTTTACATGCTCATCTCTATCAATGAAACATGCATGATTGCTTTGTTGCCTATACTACATGTAAAACAATCTGCCCATCGCTAAAACCGCAAGATTTCTAATGTTTAACAAACAATCTTGAGCAAGAAGTTCCCTGTAGGCTGATGGCCAGTGACTTTTACTCACCACCCTAAATGTTTTATTCCATTCATATTTGTAAAAGGCACCAACCACATTGTGTGCGAGTTTAAAACACATTAACATTGCATATAACTGGTCGAGGCCCATTATCCTTGGTCACGACTCTGCTCAGCATTGCCTTCGGCTCATGCCAGTCGACTCCAAGTGCGGCTTGAACTACACTCAGCTGAGCCGAGCCATGGCTGAGCATACGGCTCTCATCATCGTCCATTGCTTCTGTTACTCAGGGATCCGAGATGCTGGGTATCGGCGGGTACAGTTTACTATTCTGTTCGCTGTTCACATCTTTGCTTTCTGACCCATGTCTCCTGAATCCTAAGACTCTTAAACATAGTACCGTACTGTGCAGGCACCTTACTCGTGTGCTTAATGTGGATATGTGGACATTTGGAGGCTGTGAAGGTGTTCTTGATCTGATGAGGCGATTCAATTGAGTCAAGAAAGCCGGCAGTTCCGTCAGACCAAACTACTGCACTTTACACTCAGGCTGGTGACAATTTCTCATCGCGATCAGTTATCACTTTGCTGCACCTTGCATGGCATCAATTGCCGAACCAAGACTACATACGAGCCGAGTTCCCGCAGTTGGGTTTCCATGAAAATACATCTGCTAGGAGTTTCCCGTAAGTTTGCTCATGATTTTTCTGACCATATTAAAGAATTCATTTTATGATTTTACATTTTATTGAGAGGCTACGTTGGAGCTTAAATTGGGTATCTCTTGTGTCCTTACGTTTTACAATTTTGCACGATTGATAGAATACATTCATTAGATGACAAGTTTCACAGGTCGGGTTTGAATCTCCCTGTAGCAGAAGGAGCTATGCATGGTTTCACAGTTGCCGTCTTTGTCGAGGCCGATTGGCTGGTGCGGACAATAACATCAACTTCAAAAAGGCATTTTCCCCGAATTGCCCAGGCTACTTGGGCATTACTCATTCTGATACATCTTAGCAAATTTAAATTGAACGATCTCATCCTTGTTGTGATGCGCCAATTTTCTTCTCGTGATGCGTGGTCAATGCTTTAACAAAAGTACATTATCGGCATTGTTCCATCCAAATAGCCAGACGACGATCTGCACGAGCAACCGGCGATGCGTAATAACAACTGAGCCTGTTTATGCGACTGACCATAAGCTATTTCATCTGCATGTTGTTCCATTCAAATAAAGAGGGCACTTTGAATTGTGTCGGAGACTTTCCTCCAGCGTGGCCCTTATAGGGCGGCGTTAACGACGCGTGCGTGGGTTGGTTCCGTGGATGCGCGCGCCACTTGTGCCACCGGTCCTCCTGCATGACCACAGTTACGCCTCTCGGATACCTCCGTTCAGCACCGCGTGCAGTGATTTCACGTCGTCCCATCACTTTAACCTGCTGAGGAAATGTGTGGTGTGCCGACGAGTTCTGCCATATTGCGCCAATGTTTACGAGTGCATAAACATAACATTTTGGTTACTAAGCAGAAGAAAAGATTGCCAATTACGAAGAGCTCGGGGTTACATCATGGGACCTCCTTTGCCAGTACCAAAATATGAGAATAGGGTTTCCCCTTTTTTCTGGCAAAAAAACAGGTGTTTAGATGTTATAACACCAAACTGAAACATTTTACAAGAAATCATGTCTGCATTAGCCACAATACTTGTGGTCAGAATGCAAACAAAAAACATACTCTGATAATATATGCATTGTCTTTGAAACTGATTGGTCCACACCAGAGACAGCTTTCTTTTGAGCCTCGTCTGAAAACGGTGTTAGACCAGAGGACGCCGTTTTGAGACGAGGCTCAAAAGAAGGTTGTCTCTGGTGTGGACCAATTCGTTTAAAAGACAATGCATATATTAGAGGTTTTTTTGCATTCCGACCACAAGTATTGTGGTTAATGCAGACATGATTCCTTGTAAAAGGTTTCAGTTTGGTGTTTTAACATCTCAACACACCTGTTTGTTGCCAGAAAAAAGGGGAAAACATTTTCAGCTTGGGTTACATTACACAGCGTGGTTCATCAAAATAACACGAGTGATGTTTGTGACAAATTAGATTCATACCTTGACCAGACAATGTTTCACGACTTGGAAAGTGATTTGAACAAGATATCAGGTTAATGGTACGTTTGAACTTTATGCTCGGTGATATATAGAGACATGTTTGATATATCTTTTAATGGAAATACGAATGTTGCATAATGTAGCATTTAAAAAACTATTTAGAAATTTTTTGTTTGTTTTCTGTTTCAATAAATGCTTGTTATATTTGTCGGCTGAAATAATCTATGCACTGAGAATATAATGTAAACCTGCTGCAATCATGTGCTTCTTGGGTGGTTCATTACACTGCATTGTCAAATGAACATCACCGGCATCACAGGGAAATAATTCGAAAACCAAAGAATATCGTAACATCGGCAGTTATCATTTAAGTCCTTGCATTGCTCACGGAATTACATTTCTCGTTGACACAAAGCTCTTGTGATGTTCCGACGGCGTGTTTAACATTCACAATATAAGGATGGCATTTTGAGAAAAACAACAACTTCTGATCTCGTTTTTGTGTGCTTTTTGAAAATCCAGTGCCGCTAAAATGGGATTGTGACAAACGATGCAGCTCCAGCAAAACTGCAACCGCCAAATTGTCAGAGTGCTAAAGAAATGACCGCGTGAATCGCCAACACACACGACGCGTGCGAGGTAAATGCTCGTGCAGACGTGCAAGATGCCGGATAATCTTTTCCTTTTGTTGCCGCTTGCATCTTGGCTCTCCAGCGGGGGAAAGTTACTTTTTGGGTCACACGGGCCGCACAATGCAATTGGTAGCCATGCATCAAACTGTAATTAAGTTCGTTTTGTGGAGAACAGGTAACAATAATAGTCAATAGTCTTTCATATTTAGCCGTCTCTCCACATCACAAGTTTTAGTTTACACATCCCATTGGTCTCAAGGCTGATGAGACGCTCATTGTTGAAACGTGGCCAGTATTTACTTCCATGAAGCCAATGGGATGTGTCAATATACTACAGTCCCGTTGTTGCATCACTTGCGAATGACTTGAAGCAAATTGCAAATGTGTACTGCTACTACTGCAGCGGTGTGAAATGTTTTAACAGTACGTTTCTAAATTTGATGTCAAGTTTGCTCAATGTACCGATTCATATGGCTGATGGAGAGCGACAGCTGCTGTAACTTGCATTCTCGTGGTGGAGCCGGGTAATTGCGCCAGCAGTCGATTGAGTGCTGCTGCTGCTGCCCCCTCCTCCTCCGCCTCTTCCTCTGCATTCTGTGGCTCTTGGGTGGAGTTGCTCTGTTGTTGTTGTCGTTCTGGCCGGTCGCCGCACACTACCGGTGAGTGAGCGGAAACAACAATTGTCACGTTCAGCGCTTGTACACCGTGTGGCAACTCGTGTCGCGGCAGAAGCTTCGAAACAACAACAAAGACAAATTTGGGTCAAACCCTAAACATCTGTTCGGAATCGCGGCGCTACATATTCACGATTTGTAATGCGCGCTCGTTCACTTGCGACCCATTCGCTCTGCAATGTGATCCCAGGTGACTGGTCAGCTCTTAGAAGATTAAAGCCAGGCTCCGGTTCGGTGCGTACTCTGCTTGGCAGGCTGCCCGGGTTGGGACCCCCAGGTGTTGCAGGGTGGGGCTCCGGCGGTGACCAGGAGATGGCGGGCGCAGCGATTTGGTTTTTGATTCAGGCGCTGGGTGGGATTTTTGGGAAGTGGCGACGTCTTGGGGAGCCCTTGTATGTGTGTACGTACCGTATGTTGAACTTCTTTCGCGCCGTACGTGGCCAACTGTGCTAATCTGAGGTTGCGGGGGAAGGACAACAAACTAAAACAAAAAATCTGTTCTCAAGAAATTAGTTTTTCAATCTCGATTTCAAAGTGCATAGCTCCAGTGGCTTCCTGATGATCTCTGGAGCTTTTGAGTGTCTACCCCAATGTGCGCGTCCTTTCTGATTGCTTCCAACATGCCACATACAGAGGGAATTGTTCAAACGTTTCAACTTAGGACCTTGCTGGAAGCATCGACACGGAGGCTTTCCTGGGCCAGCGGTCTTTTAAGTAATTTTCTTTGGATTTACGACATCCACGTTTATAGCACGAAACGTTCTTTAGTTTCAATTCCAATCTGCTGTGCGAATTGCATTTTCGCCTGCGTGGAAAGTGGTTCACGTGACGAGCTTACTCACAAATCATCCTTTGTTATGGTATTAAGCTACCTTGGCCAAAAACATCAAATGTAATATCTGCCTTATACATACTACTACTACGTAAGAATAATAATGTTAAGGATTAACGGTGCACTGTGCGTGTGTAGTGTCGTTTCTCTTCTTCATCGAGGCGCGTGTGTGCATGTGGCGTGCGGCGCACACACTCAGTCGGAGACGAGGTAGTCGCAGGAGGCACCGTCTCTTTCATTAGGTTCACACCCCCAACTCCGGTCCCCTCTCTCTCGACCACGCCGCTGTACGGCCCGGCCCAGGCACGACCCAGGCATGAAGAGGCAGCGATGACGACGAGACGAGTCCACCTCCAGAACCGGCAGCCCGCAGCTCTCGCTCTCCGCTGCTTTTATTCCCCTCGGCACGGCCTGGCTCCGCCCTGGCCGCGCCTCCCTTCTCGAACCCACCAGAGGGTTCCAGGGGCCTCCCCACGAGGTCTATCGTGACCCTTGCCCAAGTTCCTCCACCCTGCCAGCACACACACACCGTGGCTATGCTCAATGGCGTGTGCGCTAAGTGTCCACTGCAGTTGCTGCTGCTGTATAGCAGTCGACGCCGTGTCACTACACGTGTGTAATACAAGCGCAGCACGACGACAAACTGAACGGGAGCCACTTGTAGATATGGAGAAGCCTGCTGGTGCTTTGACAAAACTGAAACCCGCACCTCCGATGAGCACGGTTGGCTACGTACTGTGCAAAAGAAGTTCAACACACGTACGTATTAGCACAGTTGTGAGCAATCTGCTGCGCGTGCGCAGTCATCTCCTGAAACGTATTGCTCCGTGTTTGAAGCGTATTGGCTATCGTGAGCAGTATTATTCGCTTGCGCAGAGTTTGCCCGCATTGAGATCAACGCCGCTGAAGAAATTCACTCCCGGGTCACGTTGATGGGATGTGTAAATAATTGATTAATTTTGTTTTACGTGGAGGGACAGATACGAGAAGGAGGTGAAACGTCTGCATATTTAGTCAGCCGTATTGTAGGTCAGCGTTATGCTTATATTATTTACCCAGGCGAGGCCCCAAGGAGCCCCAAGATTAATTTTCAAGAGGGTCCTGTCAGGTATTTGTAGTCGGGGGCACTTTTTGTGATGTGTAATCCCAGCTTATAAATTTGCTAATACTTTTTTTAGCATTGGGATGTTTCGCCAAAAATAGTTACAGAATGGGTTTTAAAAAATAATAGGTTTTTGCCCTTTTTGGCAATAAAACATGTGAAGATGTTTAAACACCTAATATATACCTTTTGCAATAAATCAAGTCTGCATTAACCACACGCAGTACTTATCAACATGCAAACAAGCATGCTTTGATAACACTGGTTTACAGCCAAAATGCTTCCCAAATAAATGTAGTCCAACCTCTATTAATTTTGAGTCACTGAGAATAAAAATGAGGCTTAAAATTGTTGATTGGCTCAAGTTTTCAAGCTATGCTACTGGGTCAGTATATACGACTGACTGGATCTATAAATAAATCTATTACTGGGTTTGGACAGTACTTGCTTTTGAACAAAACAATGAATGATGCAATCTGAACCTGGTATTGCATCATACTCTTATACAGTGAGGGAAAAAAGTATTTGATCCCCTGCTGATTTTGTACGTTTGCCCACTGACAAAGAAATGATCAGTCTATAATTTTAATGGTAGGTTTATTTGAACAGTTAGAGATAGAATAACAACAACAAAATCCAGAAAAACGCATGTCAAAAATGTTATAAATTGATTTGCATTTTAATGAGGGAAATAAGTATTTGACTCCCTCTCAATCAGAAAGATTTCTGGCTCCCAGGTGTCTTTTATACAGGTAACGAGCTGAGATTAGGAGCACACTCTTAAAGGGAGTGCTCCTAATCTCAGCTTGTTACCTGTATAAAAGACACCTGTTCACAGAAGCAATCAATCAAATTCCAAACTCCACCATGGCCAAGACCAAAGAGCTCTCCAAGGATGTCAGGGACAAGATTGTAAACCTACACAAGGCTGCAATGGGCTACAAGACCATCGCCAAGCAGCTTGGTGAGAAGGTGACAACAGTTGGTGCGATTATTCGCAAATGGAAGAAACACAAAATAACTGTCAATCTCCCTCGGCCTGGGGCTCCATGCAAGATCTCACCTCGTGGAGTTGCAATGATCATGAGAACGGTGAGGAATCAGCCCAGAACTACACGGGAGGTTCTTGTCAATGATCTCAAGGCAGCTGGGACCATATTCACCAAGAAAACAGTTGGTAACACACTATGCCGTGAAGGACTGAAATCCTGCTGCGCCCGCAAGGTCCCCCTGCTCAAGAAAGCACATATACATGCCCGTCTGAAGTTTGTCAATGAACATCTGAATGATTCAGAGGACAACTGGGTGAAAGTGTTGTGGTCAGATGAGACCAAAATGGAGCTCTTTGGCATCAACTCAACTCGCCGTGTTTGGAGGAGGAGGAATGCTGCCTATGACCCCAAGAACACCATCCCCACCGTCAAACATGGAGGTGTAAACATGCTTTGGGAGTGTTTTTCTGCTAAGGGGACAGGATAACTTCACCGCATCAAAGGGACGATGGACGGGGCCATGTACCGCCAAATCTTGGGTGAGAACCTCCTTCCCTCAGCCAGGGCATTGAAAATGGGTCGTGGATGGGTATTCCAGCATGACAATGACCCAAAACACACGGCCAAGGCAACAAGAAGAAGTACATTAAGGTCCAGGAGTGGCCTTGCCAGTCTCCAGACCTTAATCCCATAGAAAATCTGTGGAGGGAGCTGAAGGTTCGAGTTGCCAAACGTCAGCCTCGAAACCTTAATGACTTGGAGAAGATCTGCAAAGAGGAGTGGGACAAAATCCCTCCTGACATGTGTGCAAACCTGGTGGCCAACTACAAGAAACGTCTGACCTCTGTGATTGCCAACAAGGGTTTTGTCATGTTTTGCAGAGGGGTCAAATACTTATTTCCCTCATTAAAATGCAAATCAATTTATAACATTTTTGACATGCGCTTTTCTGGATTTTGTTGTTGTTATTCTATCTCTCACTGTTCAAATAGACCTTCCATTAAAATTATAGACTGATAATTTCTTTGTTAGTGTGCAAACGTACAAAATCAGCAGGGGATCAATAACTTTTTTCCCTCACTGTATAAGCACGCAACTTTATCTATCTGTGATTAACGTTGCACTTTCTGTCGTTTTCCTGCAGGGGGCGCTGCAAACTTACGCGCCCCCTGCATGAACGACGGAGGCGCAGGGACAGACGTTCAATGACGTTGGAATCGATCTGCAGACGGCGGTCTTCTCGCACGGCCAGCAGCTCCGTGTCGCCTTACCTCGATCCCGCGATCCTAAACAGGTGCCATTTCTCACTCTGGTCTTTAAATCCATCCACGGCCTTGCCCCACCTCATCCTCCATCTCTCGTGTCTCACTCCTCTATGCCATCCACTACCCTCCAAGTCCTCGCCGTCTCTCACTGTACCTGTGCCCAGTCTCGCTCTCCCTCCTCTCCCTTCCTGCTCC